TTTTGTTATCCATTAATCCGAAGCCAATCCCAGAGACGACGGACGCAGTGCTCAAAGAGGAGGAATCGGTGCTGAAGATTAAGCACCGAATTGAGGGCCAGAATATATTCCATGGTTCGGGTCCTGATCTCGAAGAGCTGCAAATGCTTACGTATACACCGAAACACGTGTGGAAGAAACGGTATGCATTATCACTGCCTTTCATTACCACTCATTTAATGGTCACTTGTCTTCCATTGATTCGTTTACAGACCACTCAAGAGAACGATTCCCATTCCTCCGCATCCAAGACCTGGCATTTAGACATTTGTTAGGCTTTAGATTACAATACAATTCATTAGTACCGCAAGAATCCATGTTTTTACCAAATTCTTACAATTGTTAGCAATTATTAAAAGTATTTGTGAAAATAGCAAATATTAATTGTAAAAATTAAATAATTTTTAGTCAATTATAAAATTATTTAATTAAATATTTTCATTACAATATTTAACGATTAAATAATAAAATAATAGATTTAAAGACAACAAAATAACTGCCATTTGCTATACGAGTCACTGAATCACTTGTTTCTCTTATGATCTCAACATTTTGATGGTTTAGCCGAAGTGGTCACACATTCCACGAAATGGTGTCCGTAATGACCAAAATATGGTTCACATTGTTTTATTTTCAATATCATATCCTATTGTAGAATATAATGTACTGTACATTAAATGGGGTGAAACTGTATTTTGTTACAATCAAACTCATTCACCGGTCGCTAAATGTTGATAATATAATATTATTATTAAAAATAAATATAATCTAGTCAATTCAATTGTATTTAAATTATAAAAGATTAAATATAATATAGTTAATTTAATTGTATCGAAAGAAATAATTAATTATAAATATTATGCATAATTATTACTATTGTTGTTATGACAACAATTACGTAATATGGTCAAAAGGTTAACCCGGGTCAAAGTCAAAGTTAAAGATTTTTTTACCCTAAGGGTCAAAGGTCAATTGGTTTTTTTTACTTTTTGACCTTTGGACAACACTAATAATATTACATTATTTGGTGATTTGGATCCACTTTTGAGATACGACCGCATATAGGAAATACTCTTGTATCTTATTATGACATCAATTAGTGATTTAGATAATTACCACATCTAAACTCAAAGCTCCTCTATTTATTCTTTATATTTCTAAATATCAATTATTTTTATCATATTTTACTGTATTTATAAAAAATATTAGAATTTTACAAACATGATTATCAAATAAACTAATTAAGTAATACATCGAAAATGTAAACTTTAGAAAACCACTTTCTATATCAAAAACCCCATTCAAAAAGTATTTTTTAAAAATTTGAAAAATATTTTATTTGGAAAATTAATTATCATTGAAATTGCAATTAAAATTAATATACTGTAAATGAAGTATACTATGAAGTATAGGGACCTTATTCATAAAATGCTCATTTAATATTCTTATATTGGTATAACTGATATACATGTATGTTTGCCTTTGGATATTTCTAGTGTAGCTAGGATAGTGAAATTAATTTTATAA